ATATATATATCTGTTAAGAGCACAGACGTGATCTACACATTTACACATTTTCGATGCATCGAAGTTCACGCGAGCCATTTTAATATTCATTCACTTTCCTAAGCTAATTGCGACGGAAAGAATCGGAGAACGGCGACGGCGGCGGCGACCGTTTAAAGCCCGTCATTTTTCGCGATCTTTTCTAATATCGCTAACGAATGGCTAACCGAATTAGCGCCGGTCGAACGGTACCGGAGGAAGCCGGACGAAGAGAGAGTAGAGCAACTCCTTTGTCTCGACGTCGATTCCATTGTTCCGGCCGATGCGTAGAAAAAACTTGAGAGAGCAACACGACGACGTGGACGCGCACGAATCTCTTCGGCGGGACGACACAGCGACGACGGCGATGGCGCGGTCGCCCTGACAAATTCGTATAATTATTTCTCGATTAGGAAGGAGAGCCGGTGGATGTTGCTCGAGATTAGATCACGCGTTAACGGGACGAGTCCGCTCGCGTCGGTCCCGAGTTTCACGCTCTTCGTTATTTAAAGTACCCGTCCGATTGCGGAAGCGTCGCGAGCGAATCTGAAATTAATGACGTCTTCTTCGCCTTCGATTCATCGTAAGATAGGAGACGTAGCGTAGTTCCGCTCTAGAAACACGATCCTTTTTAGGCAGTAGGCGTTATTTCACAAAATACGAGTCGATGACGGAGGCAGAGAGAAAGAAGGAGAGAGAAAGGTGAGAGAGAAAGAATGTCACAGACGAGACAATAAAAATAAATTACGATGCCGACTTAACCCAGCCTAATCTAACACTTAACATTAGTCGTGCTGTAACTAAAAACCCGCAATCTCATACGGCACTAAATTAGGAATTTCCTAACAGCGGTAAATGATTATAGACTTCCGAGAAGGAGGAAGATAGGGGGTGGGAAGAACATCGCTCCGAGCGGTGAACGCGATGCGTGTCGCTGAGAGGAAGTCGTGGGGGCGCGGGGGAGGGGGAGGCGGGAAGGGGGGGCGAATAAAAACTGATCGGGACGCATCTCGGTGGAGCCGGCCTTTGCGGGCCACCAAATGTCGAGCCCGTCGAGAAAATAGAAAATCGTGGTGCTCCCTAAAATGCGGGCGGTGTGATGTCATGCGGAAATAGCCGTCCGTCTACTCGCCAAC